TCTGAGCTATTTGGAGCCCTTAGCTAATAAACAACCAGGGAATCAATGGAAATATTTACTGGGCAGTTCAGGTATTGTTCTAACAGCTACAGAGATTACAGGTTCTGGGGGTAGCAGAGGAAGTTTAACAATACCTGGCCTATTATTATTATTTTTAGCCCAAGCCTTTCAATTTAGAAACCTTACAATCCCCAGTCTTTTACACTTTAACTCAGACTCTTGCAGCTTAGAGTCAGCTTGGAAATTTTACCTTTACAGTGCAACAGGTGAGTCTTCCTAGAGTAAACTTGAAGGGCAGCATCTATCACAGGCATGCACGCGCACACACGTGCAACACAGGTTGGGGGCTCAGGTGAGGGCTGTCTCTTGTTGAGCCCCATGAGGCGATGCAGCTACTGGAGTGAAGGCCGTGCAGGATTTCTTTACTCACAGAAGTGCTCTTACACCAGGGTCTCAACCCCAGCTGCCCCTAAGAGTCACCTGGGGAGTTTCCCCAGCTCTCCTAGACTGTAAGGGTTTCTGAGGGCCTGACAGATGCCGTATGTCAGCACATGTATATTTTTTGTTTGGGGGTTTATTTCTTCATATTTGTTTTTAATCCCGTTAACATTAAAGCGCCTGAGGCAGAGGCACAAACATTAAAGCGCCCAAGGCAGAGGCAAGAGGTGTTTTGCACTCTACGTGAGCCTCAGTTCGCCATGGGGTTGGCGCACTGTGCTGCTGTTTCACTATCAATGCTCTTTGTAAGCTGCAGATCCAGGCAGGTGTAGGTGAGTTTTAGTTCTTCCTCGAGGAAATTTGAATCAACGTTCTTCCCTCCCTTGAGGGCCTCTCTGAACAGCCTTCCGATGGGCCTGTGAACACACAGTGCACACACACACATGCGGGAACAGGTGCACACCTGGACTTCTGAGGGTGCTTTTCTGGAATCAGCAGTAGCGTCTTTGCTAGCTTTGGGCACTTACTTCCAGAATCTTGCACGTTTTGAGGAAAGAGCCCTTCCCAGTTAACCTGGGTGGGAAGCAAGGTCGTTGGAGCAGTTGGTTGTTTCTGTTGGGTGGGGGCTTTGGGGACCTCACTCCTTTTGGTCACTAAAGGAACTGGTTTCTCCAAATGCAGTGCTGGAGAATGCCCTTACTGGTTGTAGGTGTAGGGCTTTGGCTCATGCCAAAACAGAAGGAGAAAAGCAAGTGAAAGCTTTGCAAGCTCTGGGATGATCTCCTGAGGCTTTTTAACAGGCCAGTGAATAGGTTGCCTCCGGAGCGGGGTCAGCAGGGGACTGAAGCGAAGTCCAGGAGATGAGCCCACAGTGGCTAGGAACAGGCTCAGAAGTGGCTTCTCCTCTCTGGTGGGTGATCAGATATCACCTGCTTTCTGACCTGTGTTCTAGGGTTGGCTGGGTTGGAGGGGATGCCACAAGATAAGGTCAAGGGAAAGACAGGCTCCCCTCCCCCGTGATCTCTCACTGCTTTATGAACCTTTGTGGCGAGCATAGTTCTCTTCCTCTTACCTTGCTTTGGGATGGTAGAGCAAGTTCATCAATATGGGCTCATTGGCCCATTTGGTCATACAAAGAGCCCTTGGTGGAGTGATGAAGGGGACTTGGGTCAGGTGATGTTATCGCAGAGGGCTTTACCAGGAAGTCATGATGAGAAACTTTGGTTCTTACCTGAGAGACCTGTTGGTCACAGGTTAGTGTCCAGGAGGAATCTACTTATGTGGCCTCTGCAGAGGATGTCAGGTGAAGGGAGGCACAGCTGGGAAGACATCCTCTTCCCTGTTTTCCTTTTCTAGTTTGATCCCCAGATTGGGTAGACTAGGAATGACCAAGGAAGCCTCTGTGTATGGTAGGCAGCCAGGGTCCCCAGCCCCAGGTGTCTCCAGGGGCCCTGGGCCTCATTTGGGTGGAAGCCCCTCACTCGGCTTGGGGAATTTGGAGCAGGTGTTGGCTGCTGGGTGTTCTCTCCCTGCTGATTGTGAGACTGAGCTCCTCTGGCTTTGGAGGGTCTCGGGTCCCCCAGACTCTCTGCCTGGAACCCTCCAGCTTACACCTGAAAGCCGCCATTGGGAATCCGCCTGCTGCGGGAGCTCCCTGGCCATCCCATGTTGCCAGGGTGGAGCTCAGTGGTAAGTACTGCTTGGGCCCCACGCCTGGGCTTAGGAGGGTGTGGTGGTGTCTTCCAGATCGTAGCAAAGCCGAGATGGACCTGAAGGAGCTGAGTGAGTCCGTGCAGCAGCAGTCCACCCCGGCGCCCCTCATCTCCCCCAAGCGGCAGATCCATAGCAGGTTCCAACTGAATCTCGACAAGACCATAGAGAGCTGCAAAGCACAGTTAGGTATGGTTCTGGTGGCTTGCTGTTCCTAATAATGTTTCTAATTGTTTGTAACGATGGCATCCACCTGGACCGGTGAGGGTCCAGTCCTGGCTGCTCTTAGCAGCTGTTCTGACCTTGAACAACCGGTGGAACTAAAATGTATTTCCACTCATGGCAAAGTGTACTGGACCTTCTAGTTAATTATTTAGTTGATCGTTGGTAAAGACAGCCTTGAGGACTCACGGTGCTGAGTTCTCCTCTGCCCCTGCCTCACCAGTATCTCACATCTGTCCTGAGTGGGTCTATAGAAACCTCTTGGATCCTCCCACACAGCTTTGTAAAGCCCCCCATTCCTGTTTAGTGAATTCCTCTGGTACATCCTGCCCTGTGCTCAGCACAGTGCATCCATCATTCTGGGAAATTGCTACTAATCTCATTTTTCAGATGAAGAATCCAAGGCTGAGAGAGGCACATCACTTGTTCAAGGTCACACAGCCAGTGACACCAGGAGCAGGATTAAATTGTCACCATTTTGATTCTGGTACCTACTACTTACCACATGTGTGGTCCAATTTGTCTTTCTTGGGTCCAGCCATTAGCTACACTAGCACAAACCTGAGATCTAAAAACCATGCCATGCCTGGGTGTTCTGTGTTTCTCCTGTGATTTTGACTGGGCCCTGGTGGAGGCAGGAGTGTTTCCTACAGATCTTCCAACCCCCTGGGTCCTGGGGTCCTCGTGGCTCTTGTCCTCTTGTGGGTCTCTCTTGGTGTGTCCAGGTCAAGACAGACAATTCAAGAGGCTGTTGCTCCTGAGGGAAGAAGTCCAAAGAGTTGATTGGGTTTTCTTTCTGATTTTAATTTTTTGGCATAGTATTGTTTACCTGTGGCTTGGCCATACTCAGGCATTGCCGGAAGCACAGTGGGGCTGAGCAAAACTGCTGCTGGGAGGGGCTTCTCCCGTGTTTGGAGCACCTGCTGTTTTGTGCCCCCTCCCCCCCTCCTTTTTTTGGGGGGCAGGGCTGGTGATTGAACCCCCGGCCTTGTGCATGTGAGGTGAGCACTGTACCTACTGAGCCACATCCCCGGCTCCTGCTCTTCCCTTTCAGTGGTCATGGGCACATGCAAGTCCATCTTGGCCCCTGTGAGTGGAAGAACAGTGAACAGTCCACTCTGTCCTGGGGTCGGCTTGTTACTCTGTCACCTGAAGAACCCCTGCCCCTCCCCCATGGCTGCTTGGACACAGGCCTGTGTCCCAAAGTAGGCGAGTCCTCTGTTCTTTGCTGACTCTGCCTGCCATCTTGTTGAGTTGGACACCAAATCCTAAGTTAGAAAAAGCAAAACACAGACAAAAATGGGTGCTGCACGCACAGCATTCCCTAATGAAGGTACCTGTGGCTGGGTGGGCTCGAGGGCCTTGGCTTACTTCTGGTGGCCTGGATAAAGGGTGTGAAGGGCACAGAGGCTTTGGAAGCACACAGGAGGAGGCTGGTGATGAGCCCGAACCCGAGATCCACCTTCTGCTTTTGTCTCCTGGTTGTCTGTGTCCTAGGACAGGTGATTCTCTGAGCCTCTATTTTTTTTTAACATTTATTTTTAGTTGCAGATGGACACAGTATGTTTTATTTTATTTATTTATTTGTATGTGGTGCTGAGGATTGAACCCAGGGCCTTGCATGTGTGAGGTGAGTGCTCTACCACTGAGCTGTGACCCCAGCCCTGAGCCTCTATTTTTTTAACCTGCAGGTTGGCTGGTTTGAGTGGCTTGTCCCTTTGTCCCTCTACCCTCTCCCTCTCTTACCAGTGATACGGATCTAGCTTTCTCCTGTTTAATCATATGTAGGGAGGTCCCAGGTCACCTCTGAAGGCTAAGGCCCAAAGCCTCTGGAGACACGGCTCCCGCTAATCACTTGTATCCAGCCGCTGCTTCCATTTACTCCCATCCCTCGTGGCAGTGTGATGTGATTTGAGTGTGTTTTTCTCACTCCAGCCTTTGGCATGGGAACCATGTGCACTTCCTGGTCCTGATTTTGGTTCGGTGACTGCACCACAGGCTGGGTTTTCTCTTTTGAATTTAGGCATCAATGAAATCTCGGAGGACGTGTACACGGCCGTGGAGCGCAGCGACTCGGGGGATTCTGAGAATTCAGAGAGTAGCGACAGTGAGTACCTCAGTGACGATGAGCACAAGTCCAAGAATGAGCCCGAAGACGCAGAGGACAAGGATGGTAGCGCGCTGGAAAAAGAGCCACCCGCTGCCAAAAAAAAGCCCAAGCCCGCTAATCCCACAGAGATCCCTGAGGAGCTGAAAAGCGCATCTCCATTTGGTGAGAAGGCAGAGCCTGCAGCCACAAAGGCCAGCCCCGAGCCCCAGCCCGAGAGGGACCCTGCCGAGAGAGGAAAGCCATCCCTGCATCCCGCCAAGGACAAACTGAAGGGCAAAGATGAGATGGATTCCCCAACCATGCACTTGGGACTGGACTCGGATTCAGAGAGTGAACTTGTCATAGACTTGGGAGACGACCATCCTGGTCCAGAGGTTTGGAAAAATAAGAAGGAACCCAAAGAGCCACCTTCCAAGCAGGATGGTAAGTCCTTGTGTCCGTCTGCAGGTTCTCACTGGACTTGGAATGCCCCCAGCCCTTGTGTTGGCAGAAGCCATGGGGCCCCCAGCACCATGCAGCCAAAAAAGCTTGGACGGCCTTATGTTCCCAGGCTGAGGACAGAACAGGGCCAGGGCTTAGCCTACTCAGTGCCCACCATGATTGATTGGGAGCCCAGACAAGGAAGCACTTAGAAAACGGTAGTTGATTTTAGTGAAGTCCTCTTTAGCCTAAGCCACTGCTTTTCCAACAGGCTCACTCATGTCCCTGAAGTGTTTCTTGACATGTGGACCTCTGACCAGGCTCAGGTGCCTACGAGCATTCAGTCAAAGGTCCTCCTTAGTCCAGCTTCCTGTCTGTCCCTCATGCTACTCAGGCATTACCAGGTACATTTTCTTACAAGAATGTGAAACTGTTTGTTAAGTGGTACCCGAGTGCTCGAGATTCCTTTGAGGACCTAGAAACCGAAGGGGCATTGTCTGGTGGCATGCCACCTGTTTTGATGTCCTTACTATTCATTTAGCTGACTTGAGCCCAGGACTGCTCAGCCTGGCATTAGGGACACTTTGCCCTAGAGAGTTCTCTGTCCTGTGCACTGGAGGGTCTCTAGGAGCATCCTGGCCTCTACCACTAGGTGATGACAGGACCTTCCTGGTGTTGGCTGTTAGGTGTCCCTGGAGGGTATGACACTTCATAGAGCACCCTTTCTCCACAGGAAAACCCTCTAGTGGGAGCTTGGGAATGAGTCGGAGGGTGTTCTTGCCCTAACAAAGCCGTCAGCACATTTTCCAGCTGGATTGGCAAATGAGTGGTGAGTGGAGCCCAGCATGCCCACAGAAGATACTAAAGAATTAATTAAGGGTCCCAGGAGAAATGTTGCCTGAGGACAGATAGAGGTCACAGCCATAAAGCCTTATGTACTTTGTGGGTAACTTAAAGTGTAGTCAGGTTTATTTTTTGACTATGCCTTACTTCTGACAGCTGCTAGCTTCTTATCCAAACCATTGAGTAAGATGTGAGTCTGTGTCGTTTGAATTTCCCCAGTCTGGTGGCTTAAAGCAAGGTCTCAGTGTGTGTGGAGAATCTTGCTGCTGTGAAGTCTCAGTTGTTAGTGGGGAGAGAGGGTATCCCGCTGCTCAGGAAGAGAGAACAGCATGTCTCTGAAGCATGCAGGAGTGGAGAGGGAAAGGAGACACAGCACAGCAAAGGCAGGCTGACCATCTCTGGCCATCTCTTAGATTCTTAGATGCTTCTGAAAAATACAGTGACATCATGCATTGACTTCTGAGAGGCTGCTCTCTATTGTTGCAGAAAAAATGGGCAGTAGCATTTGTTCCATGAGAATTGTGGAAGTGTGATTTGAGTGTAGGTTGTACAGGACTCCTGAGGCACATTTATACTGTTCTGTTCTTTCTGGAACAGGCCTTTTGATTGATTCGTTTAATGCCCCTTCCTCTTCCAGACAGAGTTTGCAGCAGATTGACAAGAATGCATAACCATGAAACATAAAGAAAATAAAGAAGTCAGTGTAAAAGGGAAATGAAGGTAGAATAACTGGGCAACAGTTTTATGCAAAAGTATGTGCTATCAGCATTTACAGTTGGGCTCTGAGCTTCCTGGCCGTGAAAGAAAAAAGGAAGAGATCTCCTTAAAAGGTCTCACACTCTCCAAAAACTCAAAATTAATCCAATTGTTGAAAAAAATAGAGCTTTTCCTCATGCTGATGTCTCTAGGAAACTTCTCCTGGAGGCCCTGAGTAGATGCTGAATGATGGAGCAGAAGTTTCTAGAACCCAGTTCAATTAGCAGTTTCTTAGCAATTTGGAAAAAACAAACAATCTTAAATCCAGAGTCTCATGGTGGTTCTGGTCTCGAAGGCTCAGTCTTGGACTCTGCAGTGGAGCAGGGTCCCCACCAAGTGCCTTCGCTTCTGCTCAGTTGAAGAGAAGTCTGTAGGGACTCCCGCTCACCCTCAGCATGGAGTGCGGCGTGTGGTGGAGTAGGTACCCTCAGAGCAGAATCGCTCTGATCAGAAGCAAAGGGAGCCCCTAATGACCCCTGCTCCCTGCTGTGCCCAGCAGTCCTGTCATCCTTCTCCACCGGGATGCTAATGCATGGTGGCAAGTTCTGCAATATGTCAGGGAATTTGAATGGGCAGCTTCCGGGGTGCTAGCCCTTTAAAGGCTTCAACCTTTTGGGATGAATTTTGGGTGATTATATACTCCAGATTTCTAGCCAGTGAAATTTCCTTGAGATTCTTCCCCACCAATCATCAGAATACCCTAGAAATTAAAATTTGCCTAAATGATAACATGGGGAGCTGGAGGCAGGAGTCTTTTCGGGCCCCCCACCCCTTTTCTTGAAGGGAGAGCCTGCATGACCCTTTCAGAGTAGCTGCCCCAATGCACAGCTGCATGTTTGCTCTTATAAATCAGGAGGGAGTGACCCTATGGCATTGCCCTTGGAAGGGGCATGCAGGCCACAGCAGTACACACATTTTGTCATTGGCAGAGAGGGAGGCATTGAATGTGCTTCTGCAGGTGGGAGACTGGCTGGTGCCAGGCCTCTGCCCAGCTCTCAGTAGAGCCCAGATGAATGCCTCCTGTGTACCTCGAAGGGAAGGGGCTGTGTTCAGTACTTGCAGGTCACCCAGGAAAGATCAGGACCCCTCATTGCAGGAAGAGAACCTCACCCAGCTCCATTTGGGCTGATGCCCAGCAGCCGGCTGAGTGCTCCCCTCTAGGGAAGCAGAAGGGCTGCCCCAGGCCGGCCTGGAGTTGGCCAGCTGCTGTCCCTCAGCTTTCTTCTCCCTGCCTCCTAAACCCCAGAGCTTCCTGATCATCCTTCCTTCATCACGCTCTCGTGTTTCATTTGAGGAGTTTGATGTCCAGGCAGCACGGAGTCTGAGGTCAGGGGCAGTTGACCATGTTTGCAGTGTGTTCCCTGATGTCCTCTTGGGGCCAAAGTCCACCTAATCCACAGTTGGGACTTCGGTGGCCATGACCAACCCCCTGGTTGAACGAGCTCCCTGCTCTCTCAGTGCTTCTGGCTCTTCTGCTTCGGCCACTCCTGCCCCACTGTCTCCTTACCACGGTGGCCCTGTCATGGCCTGGGGTCTTCCCTCTGTTCTCGCTCTGCCAGGTGAAGCCTCAGCCCCAGCCCCAGCCCCAGGAAGACCACAGGGCAGCGGGCACCACCTCAGGCCTTCACATGCACGGTTTTTGTGATTCTCAAGTCCTGCTTGTGTAGTTGTTGACAATATTTTTATTAAAAGAAACTCATTTTAAAAAACGTGAACATGTGTCACACAAGACCACCACACAACGGGAGAACCTAGACTGTGTGCTGTGGACACAAGACGGCAGGGCGGGCAAACGTCCAGACGTAAAACTCCCAGAATGACTGTGCTGGGGGAGGTTCTGGCTGTGCATGGGACAGAGTTCCTTACACTGTCAGCACCTCCCTGGGATGTTGTCCTGGAGGGAATTGAAGAAGCAGAGGGGGCTTTTCTTTCTGGGTGGGTGGCTCTGTGTTGCTCAGTGCTTGGTAGAGGAGAGGCCATCTGGTTCTTGGGGTGTGGGTGTTAGAGGATCCCTACCTGAAGGGCTTTCCTTGCCTCTCTGGAGTGAGTCCTTTCTCAGACAAGCACTTGCAGGGATTCTGTTGCCCACTGCTTTGTTCCCTAGTGGGGGGTCGTGTTCACCTCCTGTCCCCCAGGGTTCTTGGCTTGGGTCTCGATGCCAGCCGGTCTCAGTGGAGGTGAGATGGAAGGTGGAACTGCTGCTCCTAGATGGGTGCCTGGTGCGGACCTCCCTGGGCACCCCTAGCTTTGGTTGATTTTGCCCAGAACTCACAGGCAGGTCGCTGCCAGGAACCAAGTCCAACCTGCTCTGTTTGTCTGTCTGTCTTCACACGCTGGCTCTAGTCATCGGTAAAGCGATGCCGTTCATGACTTCGGGCAGCCGGTCTCCCCCCCAAGATGCCAGTGCCCACCCGCTCCTCCTCCCAAACCATTGTGGCCATTATCCTGGCCACCACCAGCACAACGTCCACCATCACAGTCACCAGGCCGGCCCCTGCTGTCACAGAAAGCCCAGTGAAAAAGCAGAGGCCGCTCTTACCGAAGGAGACTGCCCTGGCCATGCATCGGGTCATGTGCAACTCATCAAGTAAGTTTCAAACGTCCTCCCAAAAGTAGCACATGCAGAAGATGCAGCGTCAGCAGCAGCAGCAGCACAGCCAGCAGCAGCAGCCTCAGTCTTCCTAGGGGACAAGATATCAGACCAGACAGGCTGTGAAAGGTATAGCCCCCTTCTGCTCTGCGTGGCGCCCACTCCCATTGCCACATCAACAGGACAAAAACTATTGCCATTTTATTTTTTCCCTCCCGTTTGTGTTCCGGCCATCATTCCCTGAGGGCCTCACACGTTCCATTTGGCATTATTTTTTTTAAGTTTGTTTGCAACTCACTTTTTCACTTAAAAAAATTTTTTTAAGGTGATATATTCCTCTCTTCTCCTTAGAAATGGGACAGGATGTTTATATGAGAATTTTGTTGAGTGTTGTCCCGTTCACCTTACATTTAATTGTCCTTCCTTCCTCGGTAGCCACGATCAGTCACCTAAAACCCTTTCCTATGCATGTACGCACAAGTATGTACACATACTGACCCCCACACACCCACACACAAAACCATAAAAGTACTTATTTTCCCCTTTTTTTTCTTTTTTAAGACATAAAAATGGTACCGTACTTGCTTTTTTTTTTTCACCCATCAGCATGTTTTGAGGTCTGCCTGTGTCCCAGCATATTGTCCTGCCTTCTTCTTTTGGACTGCTGTGTAGTATTCCCTAGTTTACGTAAAGCATTTCCTTCCCTGTGGGCTTAGGTTACTTCCATTTTTCTTTCCTACCATAAGCAGTGCTGCAAAGAAAGTTGTACCTTTGTATAGTGTTTCCACAGGCATATGAGCAAAGCCCTTGGCCTTGTTTTGGGAAGAGTACAGTGTAAGAGGTTGACAGCAAAGCTTACTCTAAAAACCAGGGATTTGCCACACCCATGAGATATGCCAGTGGCAGGAACTGCTTGTTGAAGTTGCAGAATTGAAACTCCCACCAGAAAGCAGGACACTCCATCTGCAGCTGACGTCAGGGCACACAGAGGGCTGATCTGCCCAGGGTCAGTTTGCCCAGGTTTGTGAGGCTGGGGTACATTTGGTTCCTCAGGGAAACTCCTCTAGATCCTGAAAGGTGGGGCCCCTGATTGAAAGTCTCTTAGTGAGTGCACCCTGGTGAGCAGGCCTTCTGATTAGCAGCAGGATGCAAGGTAAAAAGGTCACCTCAAAGGAGCCCCATGTAATCCTCCAAAGATTGGGGGATGGGAGAGGAAGGAGTCGAAAACTGGAGAGGTCAAGTTGGAAGAGAGTTGAAGTGACCTAGTGCTTAAAACGTGGTTGGAGCTGGGCACAGTGGCCCATGCCTGCAATCCCAGCAGTTTGGGAGGCTGAGGCAGGAGGATCAAGAGTTCCAAGCCAGCCTCAGCAAAGGCAAGGTGCTAAGCAACTCAGTGAGACCCTGACCCTAAATAAAATACCAAAAAAGTCTGGGGATGTGGTTTAGTGGCTGAGTGTCCCTGAGTTCAGTCCCTGGTACAAAAAAGAACAGTTGTTGGGACAGATCTAGGTTGCTGGAGATGAAGATGAGTACGTCTTGTCTTGATTTCCTACCCCGTGAGCAGATGCTCCTTCCCCAGGGGGGGCTTGGTGCTGCCAGAAAGACTCATGGACATTATGGTCCTCACCTTTCCAATTATCTATCAAAATAAAGTGACAAGCACCGATGGCATGTTTGCAGCACTAGTTAAGGTGATAAGACACAACTGAACCAGCTGGGCACTCCCGCACCACTAGTTAAGGTGTAATCAGTCAAACACTGGTGCACTAGACAGGGAGTCCAGGTGAACTGACTTCTGCTTTGACCTGTGTGGAGGTTTTGGGCCTGTAGGTAGGTTGAGGGAACAGGGAGGGTGAAGTGGAGGATCAGGAGAGTCAGGAAAGTTGGACAATATGGGGGCAGAAGGGCTGGGCCATCCAGGGTGGAGAGGCGCCTCCCCTCCCATGGGGCCAGAAGACAGAGCCCCCTCTTCTGTTGCCCTGTTGCAGGTCGGAACCAGCTGGGGTTCCTTAGGCAGCCTGGAGTCTGCCCTGGGCACTCGGGGTACCAGGGCTGCCTCACAACCTTGAGCTCTCAGAGATGGTTCATGTTTCCTCGAGTTTTTCTACTGGGGTCGGGACCTAGCCTGGCTCCTTTGGTCACTTTAGAGTAAAAAATCCCACAGGGTGCACAAGGGCTGGGCTGCACTTGTCACTACAGCATTGTGCTGGGACAGCCCTTCCTATGTTTCTGGGGTGACCGGGACCCTTTTTTCTCCAAGCTGTCCAGCAGAAGAAGGTCACACAGAGCCCGTCCACGTCCACCATCACTCTGGTGACCAGCACACAGACATCCCCCCTGATCAGCAGCTCAGGCTGCACAAGCACCCTCACGTCGTCAGTCAGCGCCGACCTGCCCATTGCCACCGCCTTGGCCGACGTTGACACCGACTTCGCCAAGTACTCGAGCAAAGTGGGTGGCGGGCTCCTGGTGGGCTGCTGCATGGGGCCCGGGCAGAGGACCCTGTTACTCCCAGCCCAGATATGCACTGGCTCTGAAGTCCTTTCTCAAAGGGTTTTGTAGGGCAGACTCAATCTCATGCCAGGAAGGCTTACATCCTAAAACCAGCCCACAAAATCCAAAAGGCGCTGGAGTCCCCTTTGGAATTCAGGCTGCTCATGAAGGACAGGCTTTCTTTGAGTGTTGGAGCAAAGGACAGCTGACCTAGGAGTTCAGGGTCCCCAAGGTTCTGAACTGTGAGGATTCCAGGGTCAGCGCCGTGCCACTCATGATGGTTTTCTGGCCTGTTCATCACGTGAGCCAGTTTTAAGTTAATATTTTTATTTAAACTTAATTCCTGTTGTTTAAATCCATTCAGTTTAAAAACCTAAATAAATGAAGCTTAATCTCACCAGATACTG